TCAGTGTCACATGATCCTTCAGAAATCATTCTAAAATGATGATTTATTATCAACGTTGGAAAAAGTTAATAGTTTTTGGGGAAACATTGATGCATTTTTTCAGGATTCTTTGATGAATAGAAAGTTTAAATAAACAGCATTTATGTGAAATGGAAATCTTTTCCAACATTATGAAATTCTTTACAGTCACTTTATCAATTTAATGCATCCTTGCTTAATATTAATTTCTTTAAAAATCTTATTGACCTTAAAATTTTGAACAGTAGTGTACTTATACATTTAAAGGGTGTGTAAATAAAGCAGACAGAACATATTTCTAATTTTTCACATATTGTAGAGTCACTTTCAACAGAGCTTTTACACTCAGGAAGACAAAAATAGCTTGACACTGGGACACCGCATCATTTTTTCTTATGAACAATAGTCACATACTGTATTAAGCACAACTAGTGTATACTGATGGTGTAAAAAATATGCTCACCATGGAAACAATTGGCTCCAAAAGTTTCTCTCCAGGGACTTCCATCCATGTCATTTCAGTACCCTGTGGATCACCTGGGGAGCAAGGGGTTAAGAGGTCATCGACTATGACATTAGGGTCACTCCTTGATGGTCCTCGTGCCTAATGAAAGAAAAGATAATGGTTACGATTAGAATGGTGAGTAATTCATTAAAGACTCATTTCACTTTTGCTCCGTTTCGGTTTCTTAAAGTGTTGATGTAAGTCGTGTCATTGAGGACTCACCCGTTTGAAGTGAGTGGCGGACTGAACCTTCCTGACGGGCTGCATGAGGGCGTCTCTGACGATGATGCTGATGTCAGCACCAGAGTAACCTTCCGTCTTCTTGCCCAGAGTCATGAAGTCCGATTCGGTGAGACTGTTAGGCGTGCTGCCCAGATTCAGCTTGAACATGAATCCGCGAGCGTGCTCTTCTGGCAGAGGAATGTAGATGCGTTTCTCAAATCTAAACACAACACAGAAGATAAACAATGAACATATACTCTTACAGTTAAAGAGTGATAGGTACACACACATACACACTTATTCTTTGTTACCATTTTTCACATATTACAACAACAGTCAGACAATCTAGTCAATTTATGAAATAACACAAATGGAGGCATGGGAATCATATTCTTCTAGTCGCCCTTTGTGTGGGTCACAGGTGCATAGACTACTGTTCAAAAGTTTGGGGTTGGGAAGATTTTTATTAAATGTTTTTCAAAGCAATCTCTTTCGCTCAACAAGGCTACATGAAAAGTA